CAGATGCCAAACAAAATCATTTGTGCATGCTCATTTCTTAGCAGGTGGATCTAAATCCTGTAGTCTGAAGTCAAAATCGAGGCATCACTGCACCAGAAGAGTACAATGCTTTCCAGAAAACTGAAAAACTCGTCCACAGCCCATGGAACAACTTCGCTCAACGGATGTCAGCAATGGCCAGCACAACGCAGACAGCTGCCAGGCAAACCTGCCATGCACCACTATACAGTTACATCTCACCACATCATTCCCATGTTAGCGTTATTTGAACCTCCTTCCAGCAAAGGCCACCAGCTGCAAGTAGCTCTATAGAGGTTACACGTAGATAACCAAGTAATCTAATTTTGTTTGTGACCTAAATCCTACTTGGACACAGAACAGATGAGGTAAAAGGTGTGATGCTCTTCAGTCGGTTGCAAATAGCAGTTGAAAAACAATGAGTCAGAAGTTTAAGAGCTCCTCCTAACCACGGTTTGTATCCTCCAGCCTCTGCAATGTCTGCTGCAGGGAAAACAAAGTTAGCATTTGTTAATCTGGTCTAAGTCAGAAATATAGTCTGAACTAATGACAGCCGTGGTCTCCAGCACAGTTCTCCACAGTCTCCACTGTCAGCCAGCCCGCAGAGCACGGCAGTCACACACAGCCTTGCTGACTTTGACCAGGCACAAGCAGGAGCGTACACTTCCCTGGACCAGGGCATCAGTTGTCAGTCAAACACATCCTCTCTACACAGCATCCTTTCAAGTAAGAATTTTACTCCCCAACTCCTCTCCATAATTCAGACTCTATTCTGCCTTTACCTTGTATAGGTCACGTGTAAAATCATGTATCACTGTGCTAGATACCCTACAGACAGGCTGGGCAGTATGCAGTAACTAGAAATAATCTCTCTCTACACTTACAACGTAGATTTGGTGGTGGCAGTCATGGCTGAACAGAACAAGACGCACGTCCTCCATAGCTCCAGTAGTCACATGCAGTCACAGAACCAGAACGGACCTTCCTCCCAACCCCCGGCCTCGCTCCCTGCTGCTCAAAACATCAACCCAGGGCTCTGCCCACCTCTCCCACAGGATCTGTACAGGAAAGCCGTTCCCAGTGCCCTTTAGTTGCAATAAGGGATGTCTCAGCCCTCAGTATCGCGAGGAGGGCAGACTTCAGGGAGCCACAGCCCAAATTCTAGCAACTAGAAAAGTACCTCCAGTTTCTAATCTCATTCAAAGCCATTTGAGTCAGTCTCCTGTTTAAAGGTCACTTCAAAGCCCACTGATTTTAACACATGTCCTAATTCAGAAAATATTTATGGCAAAACCCTAGCAGCACTGGAGACATAAGGGGTATTGCCACTGGCTCCAGTCTGAGCAGTCACAGCCTCTGCTCTGCTAGTCTCCTCCTCGCTTGGTTTCCTGGTCATCTGTGACAATGGTGACCTTCTTCAAGACATCCCGACACAGTTGGCAAGCAGATGTACTGGGAAGGGTGAAGAAGGGAGGTGCCCTGGGCAGGGGTTTGGGTGCCACAGGCTGAGCAGGGATGGAGCAGGAACAGCAGGGCCATGCCACCCGCTGCCACTCCGTCACCGCAGTCCTCACCAGCTCTCAGCTCCAAGGCCGTGACAGAGACGGCACAGCAAAGCTCAGAGGCTCCTCCTGCTCCCGCATGTGGTCTCACGTTTCTACGCATTGCTCAGTATCCTGCCCTGGAACCCATCTCCTGTGCTCCCTGCGCACCCCTGGCAGCACACTCATACATCCCGGAGGGATGCAGCCCCAACCTGAGACCCAAACCGTAAGACATGGCTCAAAAACACCGTAGATGGGAAAGAAAACACAAGGGGGGACAAGAAAAATATTTGGGAACCCATGTCACAACCTTCTATATCCAGTAGTGTTTAATCTATGCTGTCTCGCCCTGGAAATATTATTCTAGGGCACAGCTGACATATTAATAAAAAGCCTCTACCCATGAGAGCAGCCAAGCTCTGGGAACAGCCTCCGGGCAGGAGCACAGCGGGCACCGTGCTCGCTGGGCTACAGAGGGCATTCTGTGCCACAGGTTGTAAGGCACCTGGGACGCACTGGTCAGAGTCTTAATAATGTCACATTTTGCAACTGGGATTCGATGGCCTTTGAAATGGTTCCTCCTGACAACATGCAGTTAAAACCAAGGAAATAGCATGAACGAATGGAGTCAGAAATCATGCACAGATCACCTGGGAAAACTCCCTGTGGAAACCACACTGAGTCCCCTCCAGCCCACGTGTGCATCACCCCTGCTCACCAGACCTAACTACACCCCTGGCTTACAGTGATTCCCAAAACAGTTCCCTCCACACTCCTCAACTACTTTTCCAACACTCCCAAGACCTCTCAGACTGAGAAACAAATCCTAAAATGAAAGTCAAATCACACCTTGACAGGGTATGTGGGATCTGTACCCATCTTACCAGTGTACGGAGCCTCAGGAGCATGCCTACACCCAGAGTTCTGAAATTTCCAAGGCCACCTCTGGCATGACATGCCTTCCCTCCTCAGCAGCGGTGTCTTTACTCTGGTGATGCAGTTTACTCAGAAGTTTCCTCCCTCCTAACACATGCACGGGCATGAGGAGCCCCATTTGCTCCTTTGCTTTCTGTCTACATAGCAACAAACCACTCTCTTACCTGGACATCCATCAATCCAGCCTGCTCAGTTCCCCGACCAAAACCTGTTAATCAAGCAAAATACAGCTAATAGGCAATTTACATCTTGCAGCAGCTGCAGGACACCGCTGGCTGCCTCCTCTCGCACCCCAGCCAGAGCTCAGCGCAGGCAAAGGGGATTTGACAACAGGACCCTCTGCCCTCCTGGAGGCAAGAGCAATGGGACATCTCCAAATCGGTGGATCCAAGTCACAGAAACCCAAATTTCATGTGAGAAATTGACCTCTCTGTATCTTCAGATCCACCCATCTGGACCAACAGGGTCTGCACAGGGAAATCCTCAGCAGCGTCCAGCCAGCGGTCACGTCGGGTGGGCACTGAGGCCATTCTGCTCCACCACGCTGGGCAAGAGAAGTGATCCAGTGAACAGAAACACACCCTGCACCAGGAACACATCTGGGCCAGGAGGTCTGGAATAGTCAATTTAAATCTGAAGTCTAGAAAGGTTTCCAGACAGCAGAGGAAAAAACATTCCAGTCTCTCCAGGAAGCAGGTGGGAGATGCAGAGACATCACCGTGATGCACCAGCTGTGAGACAAACACTTGAGAGAAGCGTGTAACCAAGAGATTTAAACATTGCTTTTGAGGAACAGTATCCACTATGGACAACACAAACGACGTGAGGATGAATTAGCTCTACCCAAGCTTAGTCAGCCTCAACACAGAGAAAGCAATCCAACCAACAGCACCCACTTCTTTCAAATAGAAATAGCTATTACAGCTGTAGCCTCCTAAGAAAGCTTTAGCACAGACACATCACCATCATTTCTGACACTTGAACAGCTACCATATCCAACCCAAAACACTTCCAAGCCCTCGGAACCAGTTACCTCATTAACCAGGCCAGGATATAACCCCTACCAACAACTGCAGTTCCCACAGAGACAGAGAAGCACCTTCTTAATGGACAATGTTGACAGCCACTTAGACAAATGTGAAACTTTAGATGTCACCAACTAACAACGAAAGCTCTTCTGTGCTAGACAGCAGCCACAGTGACTTCCAGCGAATCCGAGACACAAATCTGTGTAAACAAACACAGAAAAGTCACATCTCTATAGATGGCTGATTGTGAGAACTCGCTAGCCGAAACCAAGTCCTTTATTTAACGGACATGGCGAGCTTAGAGAGGAAAGAGTCTCAGATGGGGTTGTACAGAAAATTGTTAGAAGGGTTTGAAGTCATTGAGGGACAGACACAAAGTGAATCTATAAATGCTAGCTCTACAACCAGTGAGAATGCTCTACTTCAGAGAGGAAAAGAGAGCGAAGGAGAGAGGAGGACGTGCTGGAAAAGTCACTTGGGACGGTAAGAAGAATTATCTAAAGTACTCTGCAAAGCTTCTAGATGTTGTAATTACCATTGATAACTCATCAGAAACATGTTTCTAACTCGATAAAGCCTTGCTTGAAATTCCCTAGCATAAAGAAGCTACCAGAAATAAGAACAGACCCTGGAGGGTGTATCCTGGGAAAGCAGAAGGCACTGAGCTCAAGGAGAGAGGCAGCGACATGCAGAGCCAAGCAGAAGCAGCCTATAACCAGGGACACCCCGGAGAGTCCAGGCAGCGGGGGAAGCTGTCGGTGCAGTTTCAGAGACTTGCCACTGACAAAACTCTTGAGACCTGCCAGGGAACTTAGAGAGGAAAAACTGGGGACGTCTTTGCATGCTAGCTGCATTCTGCCACACATACAGGCTGTGGGTGCGTCACCCATCCATCTAGATTGGTGGATCTGAGGATACAAAGCTAATATTTTCTGTGACAATGTACTACTGTTATTTACTAGCGTCAGGAACAGCTCTGTGCCACACTTGCATTCAAACTTGGAATAGGGATATCCCATACCTAGCTGTCTAGAAAACCCTGTGAGAGCTCATTACTACATAACTCCCTGACATCTCCATGTTGGTATAGACATTTATGTCTTTCACAAGTAACACAGAAACAAGAACTTCTCTCTAACTAAAAGTAATAATCACTGAATAAAGAGACAGGAAAATGACAGTGAATAGGTCTTCATTATAGGTATATCTTCATTAGCAGCTACAATTTATCTCAATTTAATCAATTCTGGAAGGCAGTAGCTGCAGTGTAAAACAGGAAGATCCCAAATTTTACCTTTTTTTAATTCTGGGGGAAAAACAAGTAACACAAAAACTCTTCTACAGTAACTCATACTGACAGATTTGAACAACCTACAAATAACTGAGGCAATCAAACTGCACTGAAATAACACTGTGTGTTGGCTAAATAATATCAAAGTTGTTCTGCTAGTTGTGCCTTTGGCTTTATACTCACATGTGTGGATTTTGGAAAGGAACTCCAGAAGTGTTTAGAGTAAATCTTGCTGTGGACTTGAAAGGTGGATTTGCAAAATTTAACTTCAGCGCTTTGCGTTTACCTGGGAGACAACAAAGATAAAGTAAACTTTTTGTCAGCAACAAAATATTATGAGCATCTGGAAAAAGAACAGGAAAAGATAAACATATTGTAAGAAAAGGAAAATGCATTTCACAACATTAGCAAATCATAGCTTGTGTTAGGGACAGAGGGATGGAGAAATGGGAGTCAGCTCTCACCCCAGGGTCTTCCCCATCTCATTCCAAGTTCGTCACCAAAGCGAGGTGCCCAAAGCACCTCCTCCGACAGCTGGAGGACCAGCATCGGCTGCCAGGGCTGCAGGACACCTCCACGCCAGGCCCCTGAGCACCCTCCACGCACCACCCCTCCTTTAAACAAAGTCCCAGCATGGCGACAAATGGGCCCAACCTGCTCGGCACGGCCTGGGCATGCCACCAGACCCGGGGTGGACTGCGTGGAGGAGGGAAAAGGGCATCTTTGGATGTCTTTCACGTAAGACCCCACTGCAGGAGGGCTGACAGGGTTCCTGACCCTCCTCAGCCCAACAGCAAATGGAGATAACCAGGCTTGGGTGAGGATGGAGGAGAACTGCTGCACACTCCTTCTGCCATGTGGGTCACCAAGCAGAGAGCAAAATACAGCCCACTGGAGGGGTCACCAGGTGAGAGAAAGCTTTGCTCTGTGGCCAACTGAGAAAGCATGGGGAAAAAGGAAAAAAATAAACAGCAGGGTGGAAGTGCTCCTGATCACCTCTCCAGCCACTGGCTGTGTATTTTTCACCGAAGTTGAGACGACCTGCTTGAGCAAGAGCTGGATCAGGGACTGCGATGGGAGACATCCCTCCCCAGCCCTCCCACTGGGCTGCAGAAGACCCTGTCTTGTTCCCGTTTGGCTGCAGAAAACCTGCACTCCTCTCCACCAGAACACACCAAGACGGGGTCTCTTCCACGCCACCTTCCCAGGAGCCTGAAACTGAACACCCCCGGGCTTCCCACCGCCTGGGCGATGTCTTCACGACTCACTGCTGCTCGTCCCAGAAGGCACAGGCCTCCCAAAGCTGGAACGATACCAGGATTCCTCCAACAACCTTCCACTGCCTGCACCCTAAAGCAGGTGTTGTATTCCCAACCATCTCACAGCCCTCCTGGGAAAAGCCAGAAGGCACCATCCTGCTCTGCAGCATTCCCCTACCTTGCACAAAGGGGTGTTTTGGGTAACTTGAAGACCATAAAAAAGGAGAAAAAGCTAATTAGGGGTCAAAGCACTTTACAGCAACTCAGGGCATGAAATATTACAAGGATCATAGAATCACAGAATCATTTAGGTTGGAAAGGATCTTTGAGATCATCAAGTCCAACCACCAACCTAACACAGCCAAGACCACCATAAAGCCATGTCCCTCAGCATCACATCTACACATCTTTTAAACACCTCCAAGGATGGTCACTCAACCACTTCCCTGGGCAGGCTGTTCCACTGCTTGACAACCCTTTTGGTGACAAAAGTTTTCCTAATATCTAGTCTAAACCTCCCCTGGTGCAACTTGAGGCCATTTCCTCTCATCCTATCACTTGTTACTTCAGAAAAGAGACTGACACCCAGCTCGCTACAACCTCCTTTCAGGTAGCTGTAGGGCGTAATAAGGTCTCCTCTCAGCCTCCTTTTCTCCAGATTAAACAACCCCAGTTCCCTCAGCCGCTCCTCATAGGACTTATACTTTAAACTCTTCGCCAGCATCACTGCTCTTCTTTGGACCTCGAAGTCTTTCTTACAGTGAGAGTTTCTAAGCTCAGGCTCTTGCAGCATATGCCAAATAAACCGCAGAAGAATCACTTAAAAGAATCCAATACATGCCCCTATACATGACAGAGGAGGAGTTGAACAAAACCAAAAAGGTGGCAAAACCAAAATGAGCAGCTTTTGCAGAACTTATCACCCCTCTGCATCTTTGATGTCAACTATCCACAATGTTTTGAAAGATCAGACATTTGCATGACCAAGGGCAATATTCATAGAATCCCAGAATGGTTTGGGTTGGAAGGGACCTTCAAAGATCTTCTAATCCAACACTCCTGCCACGGAAAGGGACAGTTTCCACTAGACCAGCACGCTCAACGCCCTGTCCAACCTGACTTTCAACACTGCCAATGATGGGGCATCCACAGCTTCTCTGGGAAATTTGTTCCAGTGTCTTGCCACCTCCACCGTATAAATCTATTACAAGCTCACACTAACAGCATTGTTAGCCAACAAAGACACAGAGCAATCTGTACCTGATGTCCGTCTCTTGAGAAGCCCAGCAAGGCACCTTTGAAGCCTACAGCCGCAGGCAGGCCTGCCAGCACCCAGGCAGCAGAGGCTCCCCGGCAGGACCCTCTGTGAGCACACCACCAGTCACACAACCGCAACACCGTGCCACCACTGACCTACCTCCAAGAGCTCTTCAGCAACATCCCTGAGGGCATCTCCCTTCTTACACAGAGCGACAGCAGACTGAGTTCATGACTGTCAAGGATCTGAGGATGCAGACACTTACCAACCGTGTGCATACGCCCGAAACCTCCCCCGGCACGTCCGCTCTGCCCCAGTTCTCCCCCAGGGCTCTGTGGACAGGCCTGGGTGGTGGAGCTTGGCAGGGACCGGCAGGTAACCGTCATACAGCCCCTCACTCACGTGGTCTGTTACCACACCATTAACTCTGCTCTAAGACCGGGTCCAGGGATTTACAGCACTCATCATTCTTCCAGCATTTTTTTATTCACACGCCTGAAACACTATCCCTCTTTCAAGGGCAATAACAAAGTATCATAAGATTTTCCCTTTCTAACAGCAATGTTTATACAACTTAGAAAAGCGTTTGTCTCTGAAGTGGCCCAACACTGAATATGACACCATTAACTACAAACTCCTATCGGAAAACTCTCCTCTTCTCAAAACCTGCTCCTATTCTTACTACTTGCAAACTGCATACATCAAGTTTCCTCCTGTTTTCACACTGTGACAGGACATATTTTACCACTCTTAAACATCAGTCTATTGATTTCTGTCTCAGTAGGCTTCTAAGAACAGTTCCAAGGATGTCGATCCATCATCTAGGGCTGGATGTTCTACAAATCCAACAAATACGGAAGCATACCCTGCCCCTGGAAAGCAAACAGCATGGTGTGCTTTAGCTCAGCCAACAAAAAAGAAACATGACAGGGGAGAAATGGACATCCTGAGAAAGGCCAGGAATTTCCATTCAGCACAAGTCATGTGGAAACCCGTGCTGAAAATTAAAAAACATGCTAAAATGAACCAGAAGTCTGACGAGAGTCAAAGCAAGCTGTCTTCTCCAGCAGCCTTTCAAAAATCTAGTACTTCAGCTATGCACTCCGAGTCTTGAGTTTGATCCCAAATGAGAATACTGGCAGTTCCAAGCCGCTATCCCTCACAGAAACTTCACTCAAAACTGCTCTTTAGATGTCAGCATTTTTCTGGTGATTTTGCTATGCACACATTTAGTTCAGACCACCCTGTTCTGCTATAATAAACAGGCCTGGGGTTAATGTCACTTCTGAAGTTCGCTAGTGCTCCTATCACCATCAAGGTCATGTATTCAAAATTGTCCCAAAATGTGCTGCAGAAATATCTACCATACGTAAATTAAAATCCCTTTAAGGTTTTGCTAACCTAATACATACTTGTAATCACTGAACACTAACATCTACTTCTCTGAGAACTGTAAGAGTAAAGAATACTGAAGAAGTCATGATTTGGAAGAAACCAAAACTAACTTTGGAACACACCACTTTTTCATAAATTAGGTTAATCCTCAAAACCAGACCTGAAACTATGACGTTTCTTGACTTACGGTCTTCCCAAGTTTGACTACTGGATTTGTTCCGCTGTATGTCAATGGTTATACTAAATCCAGCCTGTATTTCAATGCAGGATGGCCTTGGCTTTGGCTGAGCTGAAGTGGTAATGGAAGTATTTGTACAGGTTTTGAGGGAACCTAAACAGGATTGTATACTGGATCTGACTGTATACTGCTCTCAGAGAAGAAAAAGACAGCCGAAATAGCTTTCTGACTGCAAACCAGTTGATCTTCTGTCCATAACAACAGCAATCCTTATTTCACATCACTGCAGCCACCAAATTGTTCTCAAATCCCTTTTAAAAAGGATGTTATTGTTTTAGCAACAGGCCGCTGCGTGGAACTGAGGTAAGGGAGGACGTGATCCCTTGTGCCCTGCTACTCCACAAACGCACATCCCTTGGCATTTCACAGACCATCGCCCTAATGGACACAGTGAAAGTGCCTGGGCAGCCTTGCCAAGCTCGCACTGGAGACCCACCTCCACAGTGGCCGCAGAAGAATAATTCGGGCTCATATCACCCATTCGTTTCTTGCTGTGCTGGTAAAGGGACGCTGGGTTCAGTATGTAATTATTTACATGCTGCTATCCATCACTAGGTTTAATCCAAGCACTTGACTCTGCAACTAGGCTCTCATCACTCTTTTTGAGGCCTCTTTACCACAACCTTCTCCACAGAAGAAGAAATAGCTATCTAGCAGATAACACACAGTCCAAAAGTATTCCTCCACAGTTACATTCTGTATTGCTGTTTTTATTTCACCAAGGACATCTATGATTTCTTCAAGCCTCTGAGTCACCTCCTTTTGGAGAAAACAATCTTCTTTTCTTCCTAGAATTTCCTCACCCCCATCCCTGCACACCACACCTCAACAACACTGCTAACGGAGTTCAGGTTACGCATAAGAAAATACTCACTTCCCAAGCAGAAAGATCTTCAAAACAGCAGCAGTTTAATGGATTTTTTTTCAAGGTTTCTGTCTTGTAGGGATACAAATTGATCCCTGCCAAAATGCTTTCCACTTGGTTCAAATCTGCAATATCAACCTCTGGTTGTCACAGTGTGAGCGTGACTGTCACAGTGCAAAGGTGACTGTGCTCTCCGGTCGAATGCCGAAGTCTCTCTGCTGTTGGTGCAGTAGCAATGTGCCAGGAACCAAGCCCATGCTCCATTTCCCTACTCTAGTATAACCAGAAAGAAAAGAAACACAACCACAGGAAAATGAGTTGTGGCAGCAAAGAGCAGGAAGACGACCAAAGGATTTGCAATGAACTCTGCAATCTCTCTACCTCCCCCTGGTAAAACTAAAACATGGCAACAAAAATACAGAGAAAACAGGGAGGAAGGGATGTCAGGAAACAGACGGGTTGGGTCCGTTTGGGAAGGAGTTGAATGTTTGAGGTTATCTTCTTAGAAGAAAATTGCAAAATCTGATCTCTTCCAGGGCATCTCCAAGCAAAGCTAGTTCCACCTCTCCCTAGAGATGGAAAAACAACCCCAACAACACAGATCTCTCCGCTCTCCCAACAGCTCTTACTACTCAAATCATTCGATCTTGTCTGCTAACAAAATGCTTGCTTTGATGTCCAGACAGCAGAGCAAGGTTTACCCATGTTCAGAGCTGCAGCCCC